TCATTATAATCTAAACGGCATAGTTTAACTAATTGAATAGCTTGCATTCTACCATGCTAGCTGAAATTTCACTCCTGGATCAACACCAATTTCTTTTAAAGCCTGCATATTTCATTAATTGGTGTAATGTTATTTTATTTGCTTTAATTGACATAGTTTAAGGTCACATGTTTTCATACGCCACTGGAAATGTTTATTTTTAGATGGCCGGGAAAAGACGTTATTCACCCATACTAATGTTGTTACATCCAATTAAATACTAAAATGTTATCCAAAGAAAAATACCAATGTAAAAATAACCTTAGAAAAGAGTGCATAGATTTGTCATGATCACCATACTGAAACCCTCCAACAAACGTATGACAGTTATCGTTCATCAAAGCACTTACTATTTTCTAGCCTGAATAAAATGGTGAACTTTAAAAGACACTTAAGAATGACAAAACCCATTAATTTAAGTTCATTTCAATCTATATGCCTAGTATCCTGAATTACGAGCGAACAATAGACAGTCACATGGATCAACATATTACCTTGCACAGAAGCGCATATACTGAATTTTCTGCACATCATAACAGTGCACAAAAAGGGAGTAAAATCAATTAAAATGATACGAAAAATAACAAAAGGGGGTATGAAAAGAGAGAATTCTTATTTAAAGGTCGGCAATTCAAATGTTTATAAAGGTTCAAACTCCGAAGATGAAAAGTAATCAATGAATCCTTGCCATCGCGATAGATTCTAAGCCGTGACTGAAAGTCACCAAACGCTGACTAACACTACATGTTTTACGATAAAAACGCTCAAGTCTCTCCACACCTCTCAGAACAACAGTAATACTACTCCATAGTGTGTTTATTTTAAGCCTTCTGTAAGTCTTATCCTACTTCAAATAGTATTGATTGTCTGAAGGAATGCATGGCTCAGTTTTCTCATTCATTAAAGGTTCCCAATTATATTGAGTGGCTCATGTATCTTACCTACTAATGTGTATCCAACCATAATACATCTGACTTCATGCGTTATTTTTCCCACTACTACAAATGGAGTCAGTTGGAAAGTGGTACAAAAATCTTCTGCATCGCAGTGAAGTTTCCAGTGACCTGATTTACTTCCAGCAGAATGACTTATACAGAAAGATGTCGGAATATTGCGAGTCAACATTTCGGATGCATACCCCTGATTTTCGTTAACTCATATGGTAACTGTCTTGATAACCCTACACATCTGCACGAATCTGAGTGGATGGTCAACCAAATCTCGAACTACTTTCATCGAGTTAATATATTATTCATCCTGGTAGTCGCTTGTTTCACTACCTTGAGATAAGTGAGAGAGGAAACATTTATTCTTAATCGCTTGATAGTGAGTTTTTCTGGATCATCATATCACCGTATCATGAAGTAAAGTGAATGATCCACCGCTAATGAAAATATCATTTGCTTGAGGTCACAAAATTTCTCGGAGTTGAACATTGCTCTTGCACACATAACAATCCCATATTGAAAAGTGTCTACTGTTTCGATAATACCTTTATACCCTTAAAAGATAAATCTGTTAGGAAACGTAATCACGCCAAAACGTTCGCTGGAACACATTTTTGATTCGATTGATATATACGAAGCATATAATTTCTAAATTGGGTGAAAGTAGCCGTTGAAGCCATTAAGTTTTATTATAGCAGATCGAGAAAGTAAAAAAATAATTTCACTCACAGTTTTACAAAGTACACTTATCAAGACATTTTTCTAGAGGCAAGTAGGGAATTTACATGAATGTACCAGTTTTACTGTCATGTATAACATCGATTTAGTCATGTAACATTTACTGACTTAATATCTGCATATCTGCATCAACATAGAATAACTGATTTGTTAGCTGTCATTTGTGAATTTCATAAGTGGACTTATACAAATTTGCATTCTTTTCTTCAAGTCACCAACTGTTATACATAATCTGATCAAAGTGAGCCAGTGGAGGCTGATTATCAGAAAACATAAAGTCAGTTCAAGAATCTACTAGTTACATTATAGTCAGATAAATGCACTATGAAGGACGCTGTTAATTGTTTAACATGTAAGTATGGAGAAGCCGATCAGGACTGCTGCCTATTTGATGAATTTCTGCTTAAAATAGTGTGAAGTACACCTTGATAGCCGATTATTTTCTCAAGTTTAAAACCAATAAGGACAACTATAATATATTCAGGGATGTCCGAAAGTGAACCACTTAAATAATATTCAGTCTTGAATGAGTAGTTAACTTACTTTCATAAACATAAATGCATATACATGTCTGTATTCAGTTTTCAGGGAACAGTATTCAAAGGATCTATGATTACTATTATACACCCCCAAGCTTGTTTTACAAATCCAAAAAGATTCAAGCTACCTTAGATAGTTAGGGTTACGGGACTCAGTACCATAATCAAATTGCGGCCTGCTCAAACATTTGAATTATCGAAACTTCTACTCTATTTATTGCACAAAGTTTACTCGATTTAAATGTCTTCTGATTGTTCCATTACATTTTCCGACAGTTTCAAATCCTCAAACGAATTTTAAAATTTATCTTAGAGTGAACAAAGCCGCATCAAATAACACAACTCGAAATACTGAGCTTGAACTGCAGATGTCTGCAATATGAGGCAGACTATTAACAATGCTTTTTTATGCTCTAGTATTTATTGCTCTTTTTGGTGAAATACGAGAAACTTGTTTCCACGATGATTTAGTCACTTCGAACAGTTTCAAAATTTTCCTACAGAATTGATGTAGCCCAACAGAAATTTGTGGTAAAGATGTGTACAATTTCATCAGCAACCAGTTGTGTTGAATAGTCATATCTATGTCACGTATTCTACTCACTATCACCGTTGAGCGTCATCTCAAACATTTAGATAGATATGATTTCACTTATATCACAAACGCTTTTCGAAACCTGGTTGCAGCTACTCTCAGTTTTCTAGGGTTCCCAGTGAATTCACTGAATTCGCAGATCTTATAATACGTGGTTCATAAACTGTAGTTTGCAGTGATCTCAGGCCCTTAAAGTGCAATTTTCTAAGTCCGCCTGGTCACAGAATCTTAATCGAATTTTCGACTCGTTTTGATGCAACATAGGACTTTGTCTTCGCTAAAGAACTTGGTTTATGTTGAAATCGGAAACAAGTACCATTAACGAGTTAAGACCTTCCGAGAGTGAATGGTAAACTGTAGAAAGATACTTTTTCATGTTAGACTTATTAGACTATTTGCAGGAGCTATACATACGACACAGGCGGCACAGACGAGGATGTCAAAATCAGGATCGGAAAAGCAAGACAAGCTTTCACTGATTTGAAATCAGTGTGAAGATTTATTGCACCAAGCACAAAGAACAAGGTCCAGATTTTTAACACCAATGTCAGTCAAGTCAGTGCTGCTATACGGTTCAGAAACTTGGCGCGTTGCGAAAACCATTTCCAACAAACTGCAGACACTCATCAACGGCTGACGCCTACGCTCACTCGACAATGAAGATCAGATGGTCAGAAATAATAAGCAACAAGGAACTCTGAGAACGAACCAACCAAGAGTCCATCGTTCAACAAATATGCAGAAGAAAGTGGGAACGGACTGGGCATATACTGAGAAGGCCGACTGGGGACATCACGTACCAGGCCAAGCCATTGAGTGGAATCCAACAAGGAAACGACGAGTTGGGCGTCCGAGGGTGATATGGGGGAGATGATGATAGGAAGAAATGAAAGCTTGTGGGCAGTCATGTCGCCGGGTTCGAAAGACTGCAGAGAACAGAGTGGAATGGAGACGTGCTACTGAAACCCTATGTTCCACTAGGAACCCAAGAGAAAAAATAAGTCATGATAATAATATTGATGACATGTCGCAAAACACAAAAGAAGATTTCAAAATGGTGCGTTAGTCGACACTGCCGATCCCGTCAAAAGCTATCTTATATATATATATATATATATATATATATATATATATATATAAATCAGCCAATAAGGTACAATAGAATTCTATCGTTAGTGTCAACATCATTTTCTAAAACTACAGTTACTAATTAAGGAGCTCAGAGACAATGACGGAACACATTACTTTGTAGGCTTATTCGTTAGACATACTGAATACCAAACTAAATTATCTGTACGACAACTTTTTAATGTATATTATCGTTTGTGATGGTGACGAAACATTCTACACTAGCTAAAGCTGCGTTTATCAGTCTGGATCCTCTTTATCCATTTGGCTTTCCTAATGAATAATTTTAATGCGGTTAGGTAGTAAGCTCATGCGACGATCAATTTCGTGATACATTTTTCCTCCTTTTTTCTGTTCTGAATGAACTTCCAGTACTGACTAAAAGGAAATGGAGTTGCTTTATTCTGACAGTCTTTCATATTGTTCATTTTCCTTACTATTCTACTCGTCATAAAAATCTATAGTTCTTAATAACTGACCCCCTGATTAAATATTTTCAAAATCTTGTCTACAGATGGTGAAAAACGTATACAGTGTCCCGGTTCATTCTAAAAAACGTTTTCATTGTTAAAATGCATCAAAGGAACAGAATGTATGAAGGTGGTCCACACACAATATTTTGTCGTAGAACTTCATCCGAAGTCGAGAGCTATCAATGACTAATACTTGTGCAGCCTCTCTAAACACAATGCCCTTCCTTTTTTTCTTTTTGTGGCACCCTGTTAGTTGTATAACTTCTAGTTTTGATGCTCATGAACCAACTGAACTACATTTTACTCATTCCAAACTAAATCGAACACCAATACTGAAGGCTACCGAGTTCCGAATGTTTTCTAACTGATAAAAGTAAACTATCTTGAAGTCAGTTGGGTTCCCTGCAACCCTCCAATTAAAAATATTTTCAATCCTTAATCTCCATCAGTAATACATAAAATCAAAATTTTACTTGATTAGATTTACTTAGTTTTAAATTAAACCAGTATATGATTTAAATGATAAACTGGTCAAACTCACGTCCCAAATTCATGCCCTATAACACATTGCCAGGTTGGTCCATAAAGTTTATCAAAATTCTTCTTCATAAACATTGCAACTTCTTTCTCAGTTCTGTAATACTCCAATGCTTGTATACACAGTGTTAACGCAGTGGCTTTACGTTCAGGTGGTAGTTCGTTGGCTTCAACGACAACATCGTAAGCTTTCATAATGACTATGTCTTCAAAATTTATTTGATGGTTCTGTTACTTAGCTCAAAGTCAGATCTTTTAGCTTCTATTAACGTGTTAAATAAAAACAAGAAGGAAAACAACAGAAACGCAAGACATTGAGAATCACTTTTATTCATCTTTTTTGAAAATAATTTGGTAAGTCAGCATATAGTTGGTTGTTGTTGACAATGATCTAATTTGGTATTTACCGTTACAAACAGTCAGTTATTAATAAATAACAAACGAATCAACGGCTATATACAACTCAAGTGTGTTATAGTCATGTGAGTTTTTAAAGATAATTAGAAATATTATTGATTCATCGACAGAAGTGTTTGAAACTATTAGTGTATTACAAACAAGTAACTTAAGTTGATGCACTCATATGACTGTTTCGATTCAATAGACTATAGGAGGAAAACAATGATAGGCAGCTAAAATTGAATAGTGTATCAATCTATAAAATGACTTAACTCAAGTTGATAAATGTGTGCTGTAATCTGAATCAAATTTGGAAATACGTAACGAGATCTACCTGTCGCCATTAAGCGACTACAAATAATACACTTCGGAAACTAACGAGGATTGTTGAATAAATCTATTCATTTATTCCAAATAACTGTCCACTGTTAGTTATTTTGTGAAACTTTCTTCGTTGCACGCTAATGAGGTATGCTGATCATGAATTCTTTCTTTGATCTACATCAATTTATCTTTATTGTAGATGTTTCCTAAATACTTGAATAACTGAGTTCAGAAAATAGAAGGCCCAGTTCCCCTCTCTTGATAGTGTATGTAATTTCACCCTATATATATTGTTCTTGCTTAAATATAGGAATTTTTGGTGAGTAGTTAGGTTTTAAACTAGAGAAGACGACTTCCGATGCTTAGACCGCTTTAATTTGACTAGTGAGCGCTGCTTTTCAGCATAGGAGCTTCACAAACATTTATATTAGTCAATAGAGTATTTCCTGCAATTTTCGTGCATGAAATCTTGATATTATTCTTAGAATTCAAGCAGACTAGACAATATAGCTTTGACAATCTGGTTTCTGTGGAAAACCACGGTAAAATTTGTTACTATGGTTTGTGTATTTAAAAAGTAACTCCTTTGAGTTTCTCTTGATACTTACTCATAAAGACCATGACATACAGAAGAAAAATCTTGATCCAACATATTAATTGCCAGCACACAGTGATAAAGCCAGTATACAAATTCCGGTTAACATAACTTTTTTCTAAACCTAAAATTTTTACTACATATAAACATCATCCACACATTTTCAAAGAGAAAGTCCATATGCATGCCGCAGTTTCGTACCCTTTACAATTCTATAGTGCCATTCGTAGTTTGTACATGTACAGCTAAACAAGTATCTATAACTTTCTCTACGTGATTTTAAGCCATATCTTGCGTGTGATAGCTGACAGTACCAATTTCAGAACGACAATACCATAAGTTTAGTGATATGCTGGCAATCTGAAGAGGATTTGGATCTTCAACAAAGTCAACGAAGCAGTGAAACAGTTACGTAATGCCATCCTTAAAAAAAATTCAGTTCTTTCCTCGTAGAAGCTTTTAATTGAGAGTTTTACTACAAATATCTGTTCAGTAATTCAGAACACATAGGTGTTCAAATTGTAAATACTTTTATAAATGCTTATTCAAGTGTATACAACAAGATTTCTCACGCTCTGATAGTTAACAGCCCTTTTTAATTACGTTCTATGTAGTTTCTAGTTACGATCAATAAAGCATGACCTGATTTTGTTCCATTCTAGCCGAAATGTATTCAAAATCTACTTCCGTATGCAAAATAAGCAAACAGTTACTGTTACCCCAACAATGTCAAGAAAAATAACAATACAAATACCGATCTAATCCGTTATGTCTTACATGAAGAACATTAAATTGAATAAAAGTATTTTTTGTGGGTGTTACTTCACATTTTGAAGATGAAATCAACAGAATTATTATCGGCGAAATGTAAACGTTTCTCATCGATTCATATTATTTAGTACCTTGGTAATGAAAAAGTATTAAGATTATTCGGTGCGGTATAGAAACAAGTTGCCTAACAGGACAAAGACCTGTGGGACTGTTTGCCTTCGCATATATATGAAAACACTTTTCTAGTATGTTGAAGGAAAGGAAGTCAAGTTTTGCGTCACGCGAATACTTTTTGTACATATCCAGACCAAGTTCAGATTTAGTCTCCCGGAAATATTTGGAGATTGGATAAACAATACTAATTATCGTAGAATCCTTATTCCACAGCAAATGAAGAGTATTACAAGGGTATTTTCATATATACATATATATATATATATATATGCATATATATATATATATATCTTCATATATAAGAACTTTGTTCAAGTTACCTTACAAAACCTTGGACATATTAACATCTACTCTATCATTACCCTGATAAAGCTGTTTGCCCTAAATGGCACAACATATGTGAATACTATCGCTTTGTTAATTTTTGAAAACATCAAACCTAATTTTCTTCAATAAAAATATGTGACTTTTTAAACAGTATGCCTTTCAAAGTGCTTGTTTTAAATCATGAAATTTTAAAAATGTTAGGTTTTTGAGATTCAAAGAGTACTTTATAAATTAGTAATGCAATCCTAAATATGCCAGCAATTTTGACCATACCTTTAACGCAATTTGTACATGAACAAATACAAAAATATATATAATATCTAAGATCTTGTTTTAGTCAGATGCTTTTCGTATCAATATTTTGGTTGGTTGTCAACAAAGAATTGTGAATCAATGAGTAGTTGAATAATTGAACGCATAGTCAGCTCCGTTGTAAGGTTTTGATTATATCCGTCTATGAACCTGACCCATAAAGTCAAACGAAACCGCTAGAAAGACACAACAATTTCAAAGAACGTCATAGTTGACTATGCATTTATTGAGGCATGATATCTGTGTGCGCAGTAAAAATGTACTATCTATAATTCTACTTTTTTACCAATTCTTTTATTTTTTGGTTTTACTGTTTTTCAACTAATCCAGTATCATCACTCTCATCTGAACCTTGGTTTTTCCCTCACTCTTCTTTCACCTTCCAACTTGACACTGGGCTTTGAAACTTAGAATAAAGAAGTTATGTATACCTAAAGTTCCGGGCGTTCCTTATAACCTGAGTCATCTTAAGGATTACTTTTAATCTTTTTCGCATATTCATCTTTTCTGCCCATACTACTGTGGTATCAGTGCAATTCTGATTTAATATTCACCATTATGTCGGTTTTTCTGAGGTTCTGTCCAGTAGCCTAACAGAGTCTTGTCCAGGGCTCTGCCTCCTAAATTTCGATACATATCGAAAGAAGTTACAGTCACATCTGCTGACACTACCGATATTTTGAGAGTAGTACATGAGAACTAAAAACATGCAGAAGAGTCTCTACGGTTTGTAATAACTATTGTATCAACACAGCTGTCTTGAGAGCCTTAGAGTAGATCATTTGTTCAGAACAAGAACGTGGATTGTCAGATATTTCATTGCTGTTATACTCTAACGAAATATATCTCATTCATTTCATGCATCTGATTGTCTTAACTATCTTCAGCGAAACAATAAAAAAAAGTTCATTCCCAAACTGCTTCACTTTTCATAACGTAAGGTACTGGTTTCTATCTACTCCCCTCTCAAAATATGTCATACGTGAAGCATTTGTACCACACTGCTAACTATTTTAGAGAGGACCCTTGACTTGACAGTACGTGGTAACATTGAAACAATGCATTAGTGAAATGAATTGCAAATATCTCCTCATCTAAATTTAATAATGTTTAAACTATTTCCATGTTTGCATATATATATATATATATATATATGTATTAATGTATGCTTCTTATATGTTTAGAAATTGGAATCAACATGGAAATCATTTCTGAGGTTATTTTCTGCTTACTCTCACAACCAACAGTGCCAAGACGTAATAATTAACCTAGTGCAGTAAAATAATTTCTACTGAGTTGATAAATTTCCATAAGTAATAAAACCGGTCCATTATCCTCCCAATAGTCATAAGATGGACCTTATTTCTTGTGAAGGTAGCATCTAATCGCTCCCGGCAAATCTCCAATTTAGGTTCATTTGTATTATCCACCAATTTACAAAGCTGCAGCGAAGAAAACTTTTTCTTTCGATGGAATCATCCTCTTAGCCGTATATTCATGAACAATACAACAGAAAAAACGGAATAGTCCAGGGTAATTTAAGGTTAAAATAAAGTGAATGACAAAGAAAGGTTAAGTAGTACGAATAAGTGTTTAAGATAGAGGAATAAGCAAATTATAAACATCCGAACCATAGTTGTTACGGGTCTGGATGAATCATCAGAATTATAAAAATAGATTCCTATAACAGAACAAATCATAAGAGGAGTATCCAGAGCGATTGATCCTATACGATGGCCATGGCAAGGAAAGAGGTTGTATATACTTCTTTCGAATGCATCGTGACGGTTTCGAACTAAAGAAATGCCAAGATATCGGCTAGAGGATAGGTCATTGTGTGCCCTTATGATGGATGCAATTACACCTTATTTAGTAATCATTTGTTTATTCTCCTATCTTAAACATCCAAATATACCACTTAACGTTTCTTCGTCATATAATTTATTTTAACCCTAAATATCTCTGAAACGTTCTATCGTTTCTACTATATATTCAAGGATGTGCAGCTAAGAAAATGATTTCGTCAAGGACAAAATTTCTCTGCCACTTCAACCCTCTCCCTTCCTGTGATCACATGGGCCTGTCTTGATAATTCACACAATTAATGTTACTACGTTAAGTATAGAACTAATTTCTGGTTTCTTTCTTTCAGTTAAAACAATTCTACTGCATAAGCATAACATCAAATGTGTTTATTTGATTCACTGTCAAAAATATACTTCGAGGTGACCAAGTCTATATAGAATTTTTACTAGTCAACATTTTTGATACCTTAAGAAGAAAGTGTGCTCTCACAAGTAAAAGGAATTTTTTAAGCAGGGATTGATCCCATATTTTTAGGTACTATTTAAGTCAAAGAAAATAAACGAGAATATTTCAGACTTAAGCTAAGCACCATCTAGAATGATTACAATTCTATACTGGTAGGAATAATGTTTCCTCTGGCAAACACATCCAAAAAAACGTCAAATATGATTTATGCCACAAATAAATGAGGTTTGAAAGAATTTATGACCACTGCAGTGAATTAACATCTAAATATAAATATTATCGGCTTTGTAGCACATGTGAACGTTCATAAATTGACTAGAAGCACATCAATAGATTTGCTTCTTTTGTTAACATTAAACGAAATCATACAACAGAATATTCATTTCAGGGATTTGCA